GAATTTTATTAATTTAGGATATAAAAGCAAAATGCAGATTTTTAAATCATAAGATTAACAAAACATTTTCGATCTAAACTAAATTAACATAAAAGCTTATTCAATGATACCACCACCAACACTAACACATAATTCAGCCCTTTTCCGACATTGTTTATAACTTTTTCTAATATGGTCCAACGGAATTTCTCTAATAACAGTTTCAATTTTTTTGTTTTAAACGGTCTAAATTGTTATTATAATTTTCAGTGTACACCTTTTGTTTTACATAACCTCAAAAATAAAAATCCATAATAAATAAATCCGGACTTCTTGGCGACTATGGTTGCGGATCATATCTACCAATCCATTTTTTTCGAAATAACGTATTTAAATAATTTCTAATTAAAATGGTCGAATGTGGGCCGCAATGTTTTTATGTTTTTTAAAAAAGTTCTGTCTTTTAAAATTTTGTACCCAAACCACAAACAATAATCTAAAGGTTAAATAGTGTGGTTAAATTTTGGTTTATAACACGACACCTTACCATAATCCATTGCGTTTGTTACTGCAACAATCGACCCCGCATCATGTTCATCTAAAAGCTTTTTTTCCTTCCTTTTATTTTCCACATTGCCCGTTTCCGAAAATTTTTTAACAACTCTCTGAATTGTTCTTTTATCTACTAAAAATCCAAATTTTTCCTCAAATTGCCTTAAAACTGCACTATAAATAACTGCACTAATGTTCTCCATCCATAGCACTGCACTATAAATATTTTATACTGTAATGTAAACATGATCAATTAATATTTGACAATAGGCTAAAGCTAAGCTATCAAATGATAATTGTTAGTTCACTCAGGTCATTTGTTTATATTGTAAAACAGAATATTAGAAAAAAATTTTCAACAAAAAACTCATTTTTTCTTTTATATGCTAAATTAATAAAATTCGGCATATCGCTATAATTTAACATAACAAACATTTTATTTTAATCAACTTTTGCTGTACATTGCTCAGAAAGACCACTTTAGCTGCAACGATTAACAAACTTCTTGCGTTAACTTTGGTACTTTGAGGATATTCGACGTAAAACTTGGTTATATTTCGTTTTATGACATCCAGACTTTAATTGCAAAAGATGGAATTTGAATTCAAAAATTTACCGTCAATTATACCTTGCGGGGATACAATCCGGGGACACACTGTATGTCACACCCTTAATACTCTTAATTTCACAAATTCTGTGATAATGAACAATGAAAATCATGCGGTGTTAAATAGTAATTTCTTCTTTTCGCAGTGTGAATAAAGCTGTAGATGAAGCTTCTTTCTGTTGCTGCACTCGAAGCAGGCATACTTAGTATCTTGACCCTTCCACCATACAACGGGATATAGTTTTTTAAAACACGGATTTTAGATCGTTATTTTACTTTACTTTAGATCGTTACTTTATCTTTAGATCGATAAAGGGCCAATTCTGCCATTACCTCTGCAGATTCATCTGGGCTTGTTACAGTAGCCATATCGTCTATAAAGTCTGTTCCTTGTCTTTGTTCTTCTCTATTAAGATGAATTCCACACATTATTCTTCGGTTTTATCACAACTTTGTTTTTACCGTCCATTAATCCCGCATCTGCCCTGCCATATTTCACATAACAATAAATGCTCAAACGTAAACACGTTCATTCACGTCTGTGGGATTCCCGAACCGTCTGAACTTTATCAGGATCAACACAGAGTGCGTGGTGGTGGCTATGTGCGATGAGAAAAGTACCTCTGGGAATTTTCTAGTGGAGAACATTTTCGTTTTTGAAAATATTTTTATGAGAATCTTTACCTGCGATTTAATTGCGGTAGCAGTCGACTGCTTCGTATAACCGACTTAACATTTATTTGTTTATTTACTTGAATATATAAATATATTTAACTTCAGTTCTGTAGGAGCAGCTATAATTTTCTTATAAGGTGAGTCACAACTTTTCGACAGTTTCTCGACCGGGTTTTTTATTAATTATACAAAAAAGATACTGGAACAAAAATATTAGGACTCAAACAAAATATTACAATAATATTTTGTTTTGCTTACAGTTTTGTTGTTGAATTAATTTGCATCTTATATTGTTATTATTCAACAATAAATTTAAGCTATTGTCGCTTAAACCTATTGTTGTCTAGGTATATTTTTAAGTTTAATTTTTACCCGAATGTTATGATATGGATTTCAACTAATTTTAATGTTAACCAAAAATCTTGCTCCTCAATTTCGATTTTTAAAGAAATTTATTTTATTATAGTGATTTTTTTCGTATCATTTATTGATTCAAGTACATATTTATAATTTAAATAACTTAAAAATTTACGTTTTCATATTACTTAAAATCCAATCCATATAATACGCAACGTTTGTATAAACTCCAGGTTGACCATCAGTTCCGCAATGTTTTGGACCATAAGAAACAATTCCATGTTGAATGTATCTCAATCTTCCGGCGTGTTTAGCTACCGTTTGAAGAGGTCCTCCACTATCACCACCGCAAGAATCTCTCCCTTTAAAACCGCCGGCACAAATTTGATCGTAACTCACTGAATAGTATTTTTCACTCATTTTTCGACATTTTTCTATCGGTATTATAGGAATCGTTGTTTTTTGTAGGAAATTGCTTTTTAAACCGTTTTCTGTTAATCCCCAGCCACAAACTGTCGCAAATTTCCATTCGAGATTCATTATAGAGAGATCCCCGGTAGGAAGACAAATTGGTTGAATGTTCTCTTAAAAATAAATTAAGTTATAATTATTAAAGTAATGATTATTAATTAATTTTTTGAATTACTTTGAGAAATATTTGCTTCCGTTGCCAATCTAATTAAAGCAACATCGTTTTCGAAAGTTTCAGCGACATATTTTGGATGAACCATTATTTCTTTTGGTCTAATATCTTGTGTCGGCTTGGAACATCTTCCTGTTACATCGCAGTCTAATTTTGTGTCAGTGTTATGCTCGCCAAGTCTTATACCGACTCTGTAATCGTTACAACAAATTGCACAACGTTATATTATTATGGAGATTATAAGAATGCGTCGATAAATAACAACTACCTGAATATTTTAAGAAATAAACCGCTAACTTTAAATTCCAAGATATATCATTCAGAAGCCTTTTCGCAGAAGGATCAAATGACTAATACAATTTAATTATCTATGCAAAATATATACTCACATTGTTAAATTGTTATAAATGCAATGTGCTGCTGTCAGGACATAATATTTATTAATTAAAGTTCCACCACATCGAAATTCAATTCCTTCACCTTTCAAATTAAAAAAAAATTATTTAAGTAATCCGTTGTTATATTATTGTAAATTTTAATTTTACCAGTTTCATAAGCTATAAGAGCCATCCAAGGAAATTCTTCAAGTGATGTCTCATTACCAGATGTGATTCTGTATCCTTGGCTTATTGGACCGCAGATGTTGTTTGGAAGTAATTGTAAATTTGTGTGGTTGGTCACGTTAGGAGGCGGAAAATAACTTCTTCCGATTGGGATGATCGATGTTTTTGGTTTTGATGACGTATTCATCCTTCGAAAGCAACATACTTTTGGTACTTCACCAACGAAACCGCACTGATGTTCTCTTATTAATTTTATGACATATCGTGGTCGAGGTATATCAGTTTTGCTGAGCAATTCCGCGAATAGGGGACATTTTCTTATTTGTACGCACGTATCTCCTCGCGGAGCTTTGCAGACTTTATCTAAAATTATAACATTTATAATCTTACTAAATTACACTAATTAATAATCAAATTTATTTTACTCACCAAATTTTCCAAATTCTATGGAAAAATCAATCGTAAATAACAATAACACGAGTAATATGATATTAACTTTACCCCACATTTCCACAGTTTTAATATGTTATTAAAACACACCATTATTATTATTAAAGAGATTTAACAATTTTACCTTACAGCCATGTTTAGAATTCGTTTTTGCTTAAACAGGTTTTTAAAAACACATGTTACGAAAAACGGTTTAATTTTTAAACGTTCACATTTAACAATAATAAATAAATTATCTAATTTCTACATCTACCATATACAATAAATATCCATTTTTCTTTCTTCTAAATAAATCAAAGCCAATAAAATCCATAATTCCCGATTCAATTAAAACTTTATTCATATCTTCAATTTTCTTTTGGCGAATTTTTTCTGCTTCTTCCGTTGAAGGTAAAATTACTTCGGCGTTATTAGAAGATGTATTTGGTTTATCGTTTCCCGATGGAAATTTAATTTTATCTGAGTTGTCATAATTTTGTTTAAACGGTGAGTTACTACAGCATACTTTTGGGTACCCCAGTTCAAAGTCGCATTCTTGCGATCGCAATATTTTTACTAAATCTAATTTTAATGGTTTTTGAGCTTTGGTAATTACTTTCATAAAAGGTGCACACGAGGGAAGAGAAATACAAGTTATATTTTTTATGCATGCCGAATCTAAAACGATATTATTAAATCAATTTAAACAAAATTAGAAAAGACATACCTGTTATTTTAAAAAAATTAAACGTTAAACAAACATAAATTGTTAATTTAAGACACATTTCTTATACACAATAAAAAAATAACAAGTAAACTATTACAGGATTCTATAAAAGTTTCATCGAGAGAAAGCGCTGTTTAGGTTGTCTACCTTAAGGTGAATAAGTAAGTATATTTGAATACGAATTTAATGTATTTTCATGGTATTTCTTGGAATACATTGAAAGTTAAATTTATCTTACCGTGGTAAACTCTGCACATAAAGCGGAGAGGAAAGTTACTAAAACTGGATTCAATCCAAAGGGAGATTTGTCTGTTACACGCTATTTCAATAAAGATTTGAATTTTAAATCTACTTTTAATGGCAGTTTGTGATACGTTTTTCCATCGACTATCTAACGTTTAAAATCACTCAGTTATTTTTCTAATACGCGTAACAATCGTACTGAAATATCTTCATTTTAGAAAATTTTGTTTATACAGGGTGAGCAAGAAAAAATGAGAAACTTCACAACAGATGGTACTAAACATCAAAATGAAACCGATTTAATTCAATCGATGGATTAAATTAATCTATGCGTTTATACATAGGATTAGAAATTAACTCTATTAATTTCTTATTTCGTTACGTGCCAACTCCTCATCTTCCTAGGATTTGATGATAGATTCGTAAAAGATTGTTTGACCATTATTAGTAGAAGAGAAACACTTTGCAGTAGATTACTGCAATATAAAGGAGATGATGGCTCATTTTGAGATTGTTTTATGACGTTGCAACAGAACGAGAAATCCTGCTCATTTTCACTATTATAACCAGTTATTTAATTTTGTTATGAGTGCTATTCGTTGTGAGAAAAGAGTTTTTATTGAACGGAGCTGTATAATGGAAAGAACTATTTTCAGGAAATTTAATTAAGGATTGATTATTGGATTTAGACAAGAAAATGAATCATCAAAAAAAAATTATTGTAAATTGCAACCACTGGATCCAGGTATTATCCAACATTTTAAAGTTTTTTATCGCCACGTTGTTGAAATTCCACGGGAAATAAATTTATGGCAAGCTATGCGCTTTGCTAGGAAAGTTAAAATAACCGAGAAACGATTGCTAATTGCTCCAAAAGCTGGATTTAAATGAAGAAATGATGAATTTCATGAAGATCGTGAACAACCAGCGATAGAATGCGAACATTAGATGACTGTTACTAAAAGATGCGAAGATCAGATCACTGCATGGGATTACATAAACGTGGACAGTGGTTTAAGTATTTGTGGAGATCAAAATGATGACGACATTTTGGAATTTTATCTTAATGAAAATTGGGATCAAGATGAACAAGATGTTGAAGAACCAGAAGTACAAAATCCTGTAATAACCAGAGCGGAAGCACGAAAGGCAATGGAAAGACTCAAAGGTACCCTAGCACTGGAAAGAACGTCCAGGACACAGACAGGAAGTTTTATGCCTCAGCAAAGGGAACCTAAGGTTGCTCTCAGGTTTTCTAACCAGCCATACGCCCCTAAAATACCAACTCTTCAACATTGGACAAGCTGATGATCAAACTTGTTGACTTTGCAACGATCAGTCAGAGACTGCTGAACATATTCTGTGTGAATTTGTCGTGAAAAGATGCCTAAGACACAAAATTTTTGAAACTTACTGATATAAAAGAACAAGACCTTGGAGCAATACTAAGGTTCATCAAGGACCTGAACTTGCTCTAAACCTTTAGAGTTATTATTATTATTCTATATTGAACAATATTGTATTGAATTGGAACATTTCTTCTTTCAATATTTGCTGACCTTACAAGGTGAAGGTAAAATCAGTGACACTTTTACCTTTTTTTGCCCTTGCACCCATTAAGTTTGAATTGTATTTTTATCGAAACATTTATTAAAAGAAACGAATAAGTAATTATGACGCAAAGAATTTTTGGTGCTCACTTCGTGCTTTGTAGACATGATCCGGTTCCAAATCGCAAAACAATACTGTTGTGGGTTTAAAATTTTAGAGCCACACGTTCAGCCTTAAAAAGAAAATCAACTGGTCACCTAAAAATGTTGCAGCTGTAAGAGAAGCACTTGAACGATCTCCTCCTCGTTCAGCTGCTAAACATGCCTCTGCTTTGCGTTTGTCAGATCGTTCTGTGAGAAGAATTTTACACGCTGATCTAAAATTCCGCCCATACAAAATGATGATTGTGCAAGAACTTAGTGAATGGGATTGGGAAAATAGCAGAGCATGTTCCAACCATATTCTTCAAAACGTCCCACAAAATGCTCTTTTGTTAACGAGTGACGAAACTCATTTCCATTTGTCTGACTGTGTAAAGAAGCAGAATTTTCGCTACAGGGCACCAAAAAATCCGCGGCAGCTCCATGAAAGGCCACTTCACAGCCCACATGTTACTGTTTGGTGTGCTGTTGGATCTTTTGGCGTTTGGGGTCCCCTTTCAGAAATCAGCTTCGAATATGTATCGAAAAAAATGGTCGCCACTTGGACTCTGTAATTTTCAAAACTTAAGTTAAGCTTATTAACTTAAGTTAATAAATAAAAAATTTAAACAGCATTTAAAATGTGGGAGATCATTTTGCCGGACCCTGTATTATACATATATACAACTGCTTATGATATTTTTCCTGTCCTGAGTATATTTTAAATTGATAATAGAAACTGTTTCTATTTCTGATTTTTGCAACAAAAATGATGATCGTTTCCAAACAATTAGGGGTTAAAAAATATTTATGCTCAGATTCCACTCTTGGGTGTGACCAATCTTATATAAAAAGCTGAAAGATTTGGTCATTAAATTGTGTACCAAGTTTGATCGATAAAATTAACACCACGACAAAATTTGCTTACATGGCTATATTTTAATATAGTAGATATCTCCACATCCTTATAACAAACATATTCTTAACAGTTTATACACAAAGTAAATTCTGTTTCGAACTCTTCTAGAGAATACTCATCTACATATAAAGAGTTGTTTGAGTTTAGTTGAATTTTGTTAAATGCTGAACATGAAGAGTCAAAAGTGTCGACAGATTGAGGACTTCAAGATTTAAATTCCAAGTAAACTTTAACTCCCACTTTTATGAGCGTTTAACCAGCAGAGGGTTTAAATAGCATTAGAAGGCGTTGTGCATGGGATACATAAGCAAAAGAACGGCACCGCTGCGATCTAAGAACACGGGTGTCCATCAGTCGAGCGTGTGCGTTACGTCCGCGATTTGTTTGTCTTCGCGTCTTACGAAAAAATAACCTCAGTCCTGTCAAAGAAACCTTTGATGTCGCAGATTTATTGATCTATGGGTACCAACCCGATCCGGCTACGAAAAGATCGTCCTCAGTCTGATCGAGAACAGTTCACGTCTTCGGATCAACGTGACGTTCTCTTAATGAAAAGTAAACTTAACCTAAAACTTAAAAGTGTAAAGAGGTAATTTATGAGAGTTGAAAAGCGGTAAGAGGAAACTGTTGTTTAGAATAAAGGCTGGTAAAGTTTTGAATTGTAACCGTGTTACTAACACCGAATGGTTTTAAATTCAATAGTTGTTAGTTGATTGGATTTAATGAATGTGTGTATATGATGATGAAATCTAATACGGTTTTAGTGGATGATATACACAAACAAGAAAGTTGCGATAAGAATGGTGATTGGATACACATTACGGTGCAATGGACTCGATGGACAGCTTCGTTTTCAAACAGGACTGTAATTAAAGCGATTGTTCCGTTCCTGTTTACAAGTGAACAATAGAAATCGTAGCTGGCGGTCTCTGCTTGATTATTTTAGATCTAACACAGAACAAAATCGCTTCTAGCATTAGAACAATGTACAATGGTTATGACTATCTTTTATTCTATCTTATCTGGATATTAAACTTTAAACACCTATTATTATTCTTTGTATTTTTAAGAAAAAATATTTTATTTTGCTTAACAACTTGAGAAACTTGGTCTTAATTCTCATCAAAATTTTAGTTTTCGTTTTTCTCTTTGTTGTAGATATGTATATTGTAGAAAACAAACAGAGCGAAAATCGCGACCTACATTCATAATTATTAAGTTTTAATGATCTAGGTTTTAAATAATATAAACGAGACAAGTATTATATAGAACACTTAAGGTGAAACGACGAATAATTTATTTAAAGAAAACGCCCGATTTAAAAGGTGCAATTATTCCGTATGCGTCGCTTGTTAAGAGAGGCTAAATTGCACTTTCTCCTGCAGGTTGAAATGCGTTGCGCCGAGATAAATCTTGCCCCTCCCCGCGTCCTTTTCCACATGATTTATTATAATTAGCACTTCTGGAAACACTCATTGAAAATTTATACCGGGGACGGT